ATAGTCACCTTCTTTGTTTCAATTATACACATATATGCATTTACTATATATATTCATGACTTGGAAGAAGGAAGTGAATGTAGTGTAGCCAAATTTTGCAGACAATACTGGTGGAAAAAACAAGTTGCTAGAGGGATGCAAACAGCTTAGAAATATTAATAGGTTAAATCAGTGAGCAGGAAGTTGGCAAATGGAGTATAATGTGGGAAAATGCAAAGTTGTTCATTTTAGAAGGGAGAACAAAAGGACAGTATTATTTAAATGGAGAAATACTGCAAAAGGACTTTGGGGTGCTGGGTACTTGTGCACAAAACACAAAGCTAACGCACAGGTGTAATAGGTAATCAGGAGGGCTAATGGAATGTTGACCCTTGTTTCAAAGGCTGTTGAAATACAAGGGTAGGGAAGAATTGCTGCAACTGTACGAGGTGCTAGTTAGACCACATCTACAGTACTGAAGAAGGGCTCAGGCCCAAAATGTCAGCCTTCCTGCTCCTCTGATGCTGCTTGGCCTGCTGTGTTCATCCAGCTCTACACCTTGTTATCTACAGGACTGTGTAGTTTTAGTCCCCTTATTTTATTGGAAGCAATACAGAAAAGGTTCACTAGGATGATCATTGGTATTGAGGGATTGTTGTATGAGCAAAGGTTAAATAGGTTGGGTGTCGACTCATTGGCGTTTAGAAGAATGAGAGATGATTTCATTGGAACATATAGGATTCTTGAGGGATTTTACGGTAAATGCTGAGAATGTTTTCCCCTCCTTTGGAGAATGTGTGACCAGATGGCACAGTCTCGGAATAAATGGATGCCAACTTAAGACCGGAATGAGGAATTTGAGGGTTGAGTATCGTTGAAATCATTACCACAAAAAACTCCAGGGCAGAATCCTTGTGTATATTTTAAGGCTGATAGATTCTTGATTACTTGAATCAAGGGTCATGGGGAAAGGGCAGGAAAGTAGACGTGTGTAATGTCAGATCAGCCATGTTCCTACTGTGAATGGTGGAACAGCCTTGGAGCTGAATGGCCTTGTCCCTATTCCTGTTTCTTATTGCCCAAAACTCATTTCAATTCAGGATAAGTACAGTTGACAACTCTGTCTTTGTATCCTTTTTGCCCTTGAGGCAGTGGGGACATTTTTAAATACATGAGATGAGCCCTGATTTTGGTGACCATCTTAGCAGCATGTTGGCTTTCTTAAAATAGCTGATTGCAAAGAGTCCACATTGAATAAGGTTTGTGACTTGAAGGTTAAGATCATGATATGATTGTACAACAATCCAACTATCACCTCTATGGTGAACTAGCCACAGGGGTCTCAATCCACTGGACTTCTGTACTTACGTTGCAATGACACCTGCAAGCAAGATAGGAAAGTGGCTGACACACCAAGGCGAGAACAGCTATTGCTGAGGAGCTTCACTATTCAGAAGGTCATTGGAAGAGCTGGAGAAGCAGAAATCATAGCTGGATGAGAAGTGGATCCAGATTAAAAATGGCTAGTGAATCCTTCACGTTGTCCCTCCCTATCTTCTTCCATAAGAGACCACTGCGCCAGAGAGGGTATCTGAGCTACACCAGTGTTCAACAGAGTTGATCAAGTCTCGTAATCCTTTCATGAGACAGAAGGCATCAAGGGCATGCTCGTAGGTCCTATTTCCCCTTTGTTCCTGATTTGTCGAGGATTCCCAGATACTAAAAAGGGTAGTTTTTTTTACAGTTAGCTGAGCATGGGAAACTCTACCACAGAAGGATATAAAAACAATCTAAATGCTAACCTCCTCCTGCAAGGAGGATCACAAGAACTTGCGTTTGCTTTTGCCTTTGCTCTTGGTCCCATTTCTCCCTGGCTCCTATTTATGTCCTTTTGTTCTTAAAGTCCCCTTGTGACTGTTCACCACCAGTTAAGCTACTGTGGTCCTGTTTTCCAACTTGCACTGATGTCTTGGGCCCCAACTAGTGGCAGATGTTGGTGGGTGCAAGTGGGCCTGCTAATTGCACCAACAAACTGCTGTCACTAAATGGTACCTAACCAATTTAAAATTATTACGTGGGTAAGTGCAATTTTTAGTATTTACAGTATAAATGGAAATTTTAAATGTAAAGATTTATTTATGAAGGTGTTCAGGAATGTATAGCATTTCAACTTTTGTTCTGAGAAACATCTGAATGAATAAATATAAATTTGTGTGTGTGTGTGTGTGTGTGTGTGTTTTGCTGATATGTCAGTTTTAACATTAAATGAAACATTGATTCCCACAGAAAATAGTTATTTCACTTGAAGTTGCACTTTTCAGGAATGCAGCCGCAGCTCTGTGAGCCAAGATAACACATTGAGCAGAGGAGTGTGGTGATGGTGGGGACTTGGAATCATAACCAGTGTTGGGTTGATATCAGACATTTGTCAAGCCAAAATATTGAGGCTATAGAAAAGCATTCAAAGGCAGCCAAATATCTCCAAACAAGTACAGGCATCAATGAACAAGATAAAAATGGAAAGTACTGTGGATGCTGTAAATCACGAATGAAAGCAGAAGTTGCTGGAAAAGCTCAGCAGGTCTGGCAGTATCTTTGAAGAAAAAAATCAGTTAACACTTTGGGTCTGGTGACCCTTCCTCAGACCCTTTTTCCTGATCAATGAACGAGTCCTTTCAGCAGCTTTTCAGTTATTTTTGTGCCAGACTTCAGCCTTTGTAAGTTGAAGAGGTTGCTGTTTATCCTACATTTAATATGTACTCAATATTTTTGACTGCAGTCTGCAAGTCAAAAATTATTTGGTGAACGTGGCTGAAGCCATATGTAGTAAAGTAACACCAAATACTGAATGGGGACAGATCACTCAGTATCTAAATTAGAGACTTTAGAGCCAGCTCTGAAGTGTTACTGAACTTGAAGCGTTAACTCCATTTTTCTCTCCACTGATGCTACCTGGCCTGAGTTTCTCCAGCACTTTTTTTTTTTGTTTGTTTCAGATCTCCAGCATTTTCAGTTAATCATCTCTGAAATAAAATGAATACTTGGTTGAGGGTGCCAGCAGCCAATTAATGGAGGTTGAAATGGATGAAATTGTGGAGGTAGTTGATCTTGCCGATGAAGAGTGCATACGGTTGAATTGTCAGCTCAACATTGAGTAAAACAAAGAGCTTAGACACCGTTTGGTTCAGCTTCAGACCTTGTGAGATGGGTGGAGTTGGTGGTAATGGAGCTAAGTTTGTTGCTCAAATAAATTAGAATTGTTATGGTCTCAATTTTTAATTGGAAGACACTTTTGTCCTCATACTGGATGTCTGATAAGGTGATTTACAAATTAGAGACTCTGGAGGGTATATTTATAAGCTGCTTCTGCCTAAGGTTTCAAGCACGACAATGCAACAGTCTGAATGTTGTTGCAGCTTTTGTTGAAAGTTACTGTTAAATGGTAAATATGATGACCACGTTCTTTAATCCTTTGTCACGAACAATCACTTGATCTGTTTTTTTTTTTGAGATTGAGATTTTTCAATAGTATTGCATGACAGCTATCCAGATTCTGTCAAATAATGACTTGAGATACTGGAACAAATGGGCAAGGCTGCAGTTTAAGTCAGCTGACAACACGGTACTCCTTTACCATAAGAATGTTGTTTAAACACATTACAGGTCTTGGCATGCTAAATTTTTTGCTGGTGACATCTGAAGTGTTACATCCAAATTATTATCTGGCCTTCCTGTTTTTGTAGGCACTAAATCAGTGCGTGTTCAGCATTTTGTGCACATATTTACTGTGACTAAGATTTATTTCATTGCACACAGAAAACCTAGAGAAACCAAGGCTGTTTCTAATTCACTTTGTTAGTTCAATAATTGACATCTTAATGAACCTGTCAATAGATTTAGTGTATGAATAGAGGTCAATTTGTTGGTTTCTTATGCCTTCAAAGACCAAAAGTATCTCCAGTTAGGAAGGCGAAGAACTCTGTCAGTCAATACAGCTTATTGAATAGTAAAGCGAAAGTGGATGTTTATTAAAGAATAAAGCTTTGCTTTATTATTTTAGATGGAATAGGAGTGATAATGGGTAAGACTTACTGTGATAAGTGATATTAACAGTATTCACCATTTCAAATAAAATCCAGTTTATTGGTTTATGGTTGGCTTTGTCAGTGTTTGTCAAGTTACTTTTCTAACATGGACAGATGAAATCACAATTTAGTGTACAAGTTGAGTGAAAATGAAATACTGGACATATTCAGCAGGTCAGGCAGCATCTGTGAAGAGAAATAGAATTAATGTTTCAGGTCAGTGGCATTTTATTAGAACTTCTTCTCAAAGATGGTTGAGGAAGGAGATTTGACTGGGACTTGGTGCATATCTGATCAAATGTGCCAAAGGAAATCAAGCAATGGAAGTGGATTAAACTCAAGATGGTTGAAGATGCAACTGGAAGTTCTGTTGGAGAGAAGTGCAGATGGGCCATTCGTAGTTGAGAAGTGGCAATAAATTAAACACATACCAAAGCAAAATGCCATAGATGTTGGAATCTAAGATAGAAAAATAGCTGAAATTACTGATTAAGTCAGCAGCATCTGTGAAAACAAAGAGCAGTTCAAATCAATAATCTTTCAAGACATAAGTTGAAGGCTTATTTTAATCCTATTCATAATGAGTGTTGAAGCTCTGTACAACATCAACTGGTGATGCTTAACTTGAGAGAGATTATCTAAAGTAAACTCAATTTGTGACAGATACCTCAACTTAGGTAATTGAAACTCATAGATTGGAGGCATGTCATGTATTGATGTGTTGTGATTCTAAGAAAAAAGAATTGAATATTTTTTGATCAAAAATACATTTTTGACATGGCATTGCTACCTTGCATTGTAAAAGTACATGGCTCTTAGCTGACTACTGAGCAGTGATTTTGCAATTTAAAACTTAATGATCTACAAAGCTAATTTCATTATAAATGATGAGGTGAGAACTGTTATCTTGATTACTTATTTTCTTTCTAACTTCAGAGCTCCCAATATGTGCAATGTGTGGCAGGTTGTCTGCAGCTAATGCTAAGAATCAATGAATATCGTTTTGCCTGGGTAGAAGCTGATGGAGTGAACTGGTAAGAATTTTTAAGGACGTTAATTTTTTTTACAGGCAAATTAGTCAAGTAGTCTATTATGGCTCTGAAGTATTTGATGATCTGCTTTGAGACTCTATGGTAGCAAATTGCTTGATCACTTGTAGGCAATATATTCATTCTGCAATAGCAGTTTGTTATACAAGAACATTTTGCTGCATATCCTGGAAAAGTGCAATTAAAATGAAGATGGTGGGCGTACTTAGCCTGGTGGCATAACTGAACAGAGAATAAGATTTAGAATATGAAATTGGGTGGCACAGTTGGGGTGCTGTGCACTTTTCCACCTGCTAGTATTGATATTTTAACAGCAAGGCGAAGGTGTTAGATGGGTTGCCAGCTCTGAAAAATCAAGGCCCCTTTATTGGCCAAACTTTGGGCCACCTCCCAATGCTGTGGTATTTTACCATGTACTCATTTGAGACATGTCAGTATCACCAACCCTGCTGTACCCAACAACTGCCTTGCCAGGTCCAGGTCGTAAAACCTTCCACTTATCTGGGAATCCAAATCTAGTGATGTTCATCTTTACATTCTGCTTGCAGGCCCGGCAGTGCTCGCCATTCCTGGTACACTGCTTGGATTAGAGAGCTACCAGCTATTTGATTGACCTCCGTTTGCTCGCGGTCATATTTCATCCGGATGATAAGCCACTTTGAGCCAGTTGACAGTCCAGTTACTGATAAACTAATTTGGCACTGATTGGGCCACGCAAAGATGGAAGCTTGCCCTGACTTTGAAGCCAAGAGGAGAATTCTTCTACCCTTTCAGTTTCCTGACCTTGCATCAGAAATGGGCCCAGTTTGTGAGGCACAGAACCTATTCTGTATTTTCACATTTTGACAATTTTATTATATTGGTTATATTTTGCCTTTACTTCATTAAATAATTCTGTCAAAAGATTCTGTCTATCGTTTCCAACAATCCACGTAAGTTACAATCTCTCCTCAGGTACAAATAATTAATTTGAAATTCCGTTTATAGTTTCATATTCTATATTTGGACAACAAATTAAATACAGATAAGTGGAAATTTTCCACTTAAATTACTTTGGTCAGTATTTGTATTCTATAAATGGCATAAATTGGGAATTCAATGATTTTAAATCTTATTGGAAAAATTACTGAAAAGATAGAATGCTTGCGGTGGGTAAGGAAGCCTAAATTTGTGTATTGTATAAATGTATGTTTTTCTGTGGTTTGTAAGTGGTATTTAACTTAAATATCCTAGTCCCATGTCCTCTAATTTCTCCAAGCCCGTTGCACGGATCTCCAAGGTCCATGCATGCCAGTGATCGGAGATACTGGAAGCAAATGCATCAGCACACCAGTCGATGTGCGTGGATCCTCAGAACAGTGGCACAGTCGTACCACTTAGAGGAAACCTTCATTTCCTGGCATTAAGCAGGGCTTTAAGAAGATCTCCAGAGGAAGAGCAATTGCTTTGCCTAAGAAGCAGCTGAAGACCGTTTCCCCCAAAATGAGTCATCCAGGAACATAGGACTAGCCAACTCAATGTGAACTATGATGCAGTGCTTAAGGGAAGTAGAGAAAGAGGTGCTCTTTTGCTTTTGCCTTTTCTAACTTTTCTGATCTCCTGGAATTGATTCTTCTGCTAAGGAGAAGCAGCTAGTTATTTACTGAGTGTCTGAAGTCCAACATAGCTTTACTAACAGTTGTTATATTAATAGAATATATAAAAATGTAAAGGAACACATAATTAAACTAAATGAATAGTTGTTCAAAACACACAAAGAATGGCAGGACAGGTAATGCCACAGTTGCAGCATGTGGAAGTTCCTGAATGAAAGTGTCATCCAGAGCAAACATGTCTACAGAAAATGTTTGAAGTTCGAGCAGCTTCGCCTCAAAGTTTTATCTGCAATGCATCAGGGAGGGTAAAGTTACCTGTATTCTTTACACCAGGAGGCAGTAAAACCTCTTAGAATTGGGTAATCTGGTTTTGTTCAGTATTCGTGGACAGGAAAGTGTGACTAAGAGACAATTAAAGGAACCTGGAGTCAGGGTGGGGATGTGGGTTGCTGGAGCCTCTGCCTTTACAATTGTCCAACATGCTTGAGACTCTTAAGTTTTAGCTGAGTGAGAGTAAGGGCTTGCAAGGTGGATGAGCTAACTGATCGTGGCACAGGGAAGCAATTCAAGAGGGAGAACGAGAAGGAATGTAATGGTGGTCAGGTTAGTATAGTTAAGGGGACGAACATTGCTCTCTGCAGCAAAGAGTATAATTCCAGACTCGCGTTGCCTGCCTGTGCATTGGTTCTGAACATCGGCTCAGGGCTGAAGAGATCTTTGCAGTGAGGGGCAAAGGTCCAATCGTTGTGGTCCATGTAAGTACCAATGTTGCGGAAAGGATGAAGGGGGATGGTCCAAATTAAGAATCAGAATCTCAAAAGTCAAAATCTCTATTTAATTTATACATGGTTCTGGTAATACACAAAGGAGTGATTAGATTACGGAGATGAATGTGTGAACCTAAGACAAGACGAGAGGGAGAAATTTTTTTTTTTGATTCATAGGGCACCCTGTCACAACTGGAAAAAGTAGGATCTCTAATGATGGGGTGGTTTGCACCTGAACCATGCTGGGGCCAGTGTTTTTTGTGAGCTACATAACTGGAAGTCAGAATTTCAAATTCTGTGGTGGGAGCAAGGAAGATAAGATAAATCTAAGTAGGCAAAGCCAAAGAGAGTTATTAACAAGGGAAAAGATAAACTGAGAACGGAACTGATAGAGAGTCTGAATCTAAGAATAAACCAATAGATTAGACTAAAATTTACAATAAATGTAAATAGGATGAAGGTAAAAGCTCTAACTTTGAATGCACATAACTCTAATGAGCTGAGAGCAAAGATGCATCTACAGGATGATGTGGATGTGGACGTGAATCTTGAAGGGTACAGGATTTATAGGAATAAATAGGAAGCTTGGAAAATGTAGAGAGGCAGTTCTGTTATTTGATATTGGCTCAGCATGACGTATTTTAAATAAGCCAAACTGTAGAAACAATTTAGGTGGAAATGAGAGAGAGGCAAAAATTTTGCTTTGTAGGAGTGGTGTACAAGTCCTTTAAGAGGAATCCCAAGGTGGGGTGAAGCATAATGAAAGAAACAGAGAAGCTGTCAAAAAGACTTTTTTTTTTTTTTTTTTTTTTTAAAAGAAACAAAATGACTAAACCAAAAATAGGGAAATATTAGAATATAGGAGTAACCTAGCCAGAAATATAAACCTAGCAAGATCATCTGCAAATGTTTGGGGGAGAAAAAGTTAACAATTGAGCTTCGGTCAAATAAAAAGTCACATGGGGAATTTAATGATAGAAAAAGTTGGAGTTATGCCATCTGCATGATCACATTGAATGAGTGGACAGTCTTGAGGAGCTGAACGGCCGCCTCCTGTTCCTGTGAAAATAAGAAAATGGCCGATGAATTGAAGCAGCATTGTTGCATTGCTCCTCATTGTAAAGGATGTAGTAACATCCCAGAATCAATGATCGTTCCAGATATGGGGAGGACAGAGGAACTCAGGAAAATTACAATCACTGGAGAAGTGTAAATAAATAAATTTAGAATTGCAGCCAGTTCCCCAGGTTCTGGGGACTTCATGCTGGGGTCTTAAAGTGGCAAGTGAGATAGTTAATGCGTTGATTTTAATTTTCTAAATTCCCTCACTTTGGGACAGTTCCATTAGTTTGGATGATAGTAAATGTATTTTTTTTTAGTCCAGCAGGGACGAGGAGGGAGGCAACGCAGGAAACGTCAAGCCGGTTAGCTTAACACCTGTCGCATAGGAAATGAAATAACTTACACCCAGGGCACTTAGAAAAATTTAATAATCTTGCAGATTTGACATGGTTTGTAAATGGACATCCTATTTAACTTTTAACTTTTGGAGTTTTTTGAAGACGTAAGACCATGCTGTGCGTAAATGGGAACTAGTGGAATTACTGTGCTTAGATTTTTCAGAAAAGGTGCCACCTCAGAGATAAGTAAAAGCTCACCATGAAGGTGTAGTATATTGGCATTGCCAGAAGATTAGCCAGTTAACAGGAAATAGAAGGCATAAATGGGTCTTTTTAAAGTTGGCAAGATGGAATGTGTTATGTCCCACATAGTCTAAATAGTTGAAGACCCTGCACTTTAGATGTCTGACTTGAATGAAGGGAAGGAAGCTATGGTCGCCATTTTTTCTGATGACATAAACATGCATAGGAAAGTAAGTTGTGTAGAGGATGTGAGGCTTCAAAAAAAAAATGGAAAAATTGAGTGGGCAAAGATATGGTAAATGGAACATAATGTGTGATGTGAAGTTGTCCATTTTGGCAGGAAGATTTAAAAACCTAAATGGTGAGAGAGCAGAATCCTGAGATACAGAGATATCTGGGTGTCTTTGGCATGAATCGCACAAGGTTAGTATGCAGTTACAGCAAATAAGAAAGCTAAAATGGTGAGACCTCATCTGGAATTGTGCACTGTTATTAGTCTCCTTGTTTAAGGAAAAATGTAAATTCTTTGGGAGCTGTTCAAAGAAGGTTTACTGAATGAACATTTGGAATAATGTTGCTGATTAAGAAGAAAGATTGGACAAGCTAAACTGGCATCCACTGAAGTTTAGAGGAGTGAGAGGTGACTTGATTAAAACATACAAGATTTCTACTCTTCTGCTGGAATTAGGAACTAGAGGGATCATTGTTTAAAATCAGGGATCAGCTATTAAAGCAGATTGGATGGATTGTTTTCTGAATATCCTGAGTGATTGAAAAGGTGGCAGAGGCAGAATCTTTGAATATTTTTAAGACAGAGATAGGTACATTCTTGTTGGGCACTAAGATGAAAGATTTTAGTAAACGGGAATACAGATTTAAGGTTACAATTAGATCTGTCAGAATTTATTGAATGGAGCACCAAGCTTGGCTGAGTGCCCTACTCTGCTCATTCGTATGTGATAAGAGTTCATGAAGCGTGC